TATATATATATATATATATATATATATATATATATATATATATATATCCCTCTCTCTCTCTATCTATATTGTACTGAACTTCGGGTCTTATACTTGCTAAGCAGGCACTGTACCAATTCTGTCATAACTGCCTGGTTCCAACAGGGTTCACCAGTTTGAAATAACTTCTAATTTAATCTCTTGACTCCGATATCTTGTTTTGTGAGGATCATATAAATTTGGACTCTGTACCTGTCCCAACTGTAGACTTGAGGGTCTTTCCTCTCATAAGAGGCTCTGTTCATACTCTCTGTCTTGGGGAGGTGGCTTATGGACACTGTGTGAATACTTTGGGGTACCTGTTCATAGAGAGAGTTCCAGAATGTTCAGGGCCTTAGCTTAGACTTCTGTTTTCGCATTGGTGTCCTATGCCTGGTATGAGTTCTGTGTGTTCCTTCCTCCATTTTTAGTATCTCATGATTGTACTGGAATCATGATTTCATTTTTTTTGTTGGTGATGGTGGTCGTAGGCCTTGAACTCTGTGCTTGGGGGCTGTCACTGAGCTCTTCAACTCAAGGTAAGCTCTCTACCACTTGAGCCACAGCACTACTTCCGGTTTTCTGGTGGTTAATTGAAGATAAAAGTCTCATGGACTTTCCTGCCCAGGCTGGCTTTGAATTATGATCCTCAGATCTCAGCCTCCTGAGAAGCTAGGATTACAGGCATGAGCCACCAGTGCCTGACCATAATTTATTTCATTTCTTTCCTTTTCTTTGCCAGTTTAACTTTGTGTTGAATTAAGATTCATGTATGTATTTATGTATGTATTTGTGTGTGGTGTTAGATTTGAAGTCAGGGCCTCACATATGCTAGACAAGCACTTTACCATAGAGCCACATCCCCAGCTGCATTTTTATCTTTAGTTTTTGTCTCTTGGTGGTACTAGGATTTGAATCCTAGGCTTCACTAAATAGACACTTACTCCTTGAGCTTTGCCCCCAGCTTATTCTGGAATTTATGTTGTTTAGAGTGGAATAAAGAAGGCTTTTTATATCTTCTCAAATTGTTTTAGCCAGATGTCTCTTTATGCAAGTTACTTAATCTCATTATGCCTGTTTTCCTCTTCCAGTAAGAATGCTGGAAAAAGTACATAGGAGTTACTTAGCACAGCTTCTAGAATAAAGCAGACCTTTTTATAACCACATTGCTATTATGCCACCGCTTGTCGTTTTTATGGTAATAATTGTTGGTTTTCCATTTTTCCTCTCCAGTAGCTATCACTGTGTACATGATTATAATGCAGGATCATTATAAACGTGAAATTGTTCAGATTTGTTGTTGAAAGTTTCAGATGTGACAAAACACATTCAGTAGATGCCTCTGAGCTGTCAGAAGATAGGGCATATAGGCAGAGAAGCAGATTGCTGTCTTTTGGCTCTCTAGATTTTAGGCCAGAGCCCACAGATGGGAAGCCCAGCACCTTGAGTTTTTTTTTTTTGTTGGACTGGCACAGTATTTTAAGAAACTATAAACTGCTAACATTTTTTTTTTTTTTGCCAGTCATGGGGCCTGAACTCGGCCTGGGCGCTGTCCCTCAGCTCTTCAGCTGAAGGCCAGTGCCCTACTGCTTGAGCCATAGTGCCACTTCTGGCTTTTTCTGCTTATGTGGTGCTGAGGAATGGAACCCAGGGCCTCATGCATGTAAGGCAAGCACTCTACCACTGAGCCACCTTCCCAGCTCCTAAACTGCTAACATTTAAACCTGGCAACATTTCATGTACAGTTCAGATCTTCCAGCTCTTGTGAACATGCCCATTGTCTGACCATACCTGGCTGCTTATCTTGTACAGAGTGGCTGCTCCTGGTGTTGTCCCTGCCACTGGCCAAGTGACATATACTATTTCTTGTCACTCTTCCTGCTGTTGTTTTAAACACTTAATACATAGATGGTAATTTGCACTTGTTCACTCTCAGTGGAGGTAACAAAAGTTATGTGAGAGACCCACACATTCTAAGGTAGTTTAAAAGGACTGTTGCAGATTGCCTGGCCCTGTGACTTGCAGCTTAGAGCTTCAGGCATCTTAGAGGTCTCTCTGAGTGCCACCCTCTTTGCTTTTTCTCATTCCACCTTCCTTTTCTGTACTCCCCTGCTTTCTCCTACAGTAACTAAATTGGTTTCTATGGAGAACCACAGGCTTCTGGGACCACAGGATGCTATTTATTCAAGCCCATTTTTCCCACTCTTCACTGCCCACACTTTCCAGAAGAGTGAAACAATTTCCTCTCCAATTTACTTGTGGTTAAGATTGATATCTGACTGTCTGTCTGTCTGTCTGTTTATGGTATTGGGGATCATACTCAGGCATTACTTTGCCAGTAAGCTACACCTTCAGTCCTCAACCTTTGGTGCTTTTGAGACAGTATCTTGCCGTGCAGCCCAGAAACTGGTTTTTAACTTGGGATCCTCCTGCCTCCACCTCCCAACTACTGGGATGACAGGCGTACCGTACAATGCCTGACAAGATCTTTTTTAAATCAAGAAGCAAAACTTTTATTAGACTGATGAAAGGTTTAAAATGCAAATACCCTAGCTGGGCACTGGTGATTCATGCCTTCAGTCCTAGTTACTTAAGGGGCTGTGAGTTTAGGATGACAATTCAAAGCAAACCCAGAAAGTCTGTGAGACAAGCTGAAAGTGGAGTTGTGACTCAACTGTTAAGTTCACTAATAAATCAGCAATCTAAGATGGAAATTCACATCTATGAATTAAAATGGCAAAGGAAACTCACTGAAAGCTGTTGAATAATAGGAGATGGAGAAAGTGACAGTAGGGTGTCAATCTGATCAAAGCATTGTATATGCATGTGTTAAGTTCCACAGTGAAATTTCTTTCAACAATTAGCGTACACACAGACACACAGACACAGACAGACAGACAGTCAGACAGACAGACAGACACACACACACACACACACACACCCCTCCTGAAGTATAGGAATATAAAACAGATCCTGTTTAGCTTGGGGGGAGGGGTGTCGTAGTGGGAGCATAGAGGGTGAGTGTTGGGGGTAAAGGAGGGTGAATATGCTCAAAATGCTTTATGAATATATAGAAAATGGAACATGAAGCTTGAGGTTGGCTTGGGAAGAGGGGAGGTGATAGGAAGTAGAAGAAAGAGTGACAGAGGGGTGAGTCTGATCAAGAGACAGCTATATGGACATGCCAAATGGAAGTCTCCTTCTGCAACTAATTGATGCTAATAAAATGGGAGAATATAAGTACAACTGAGAATATGACTGACAGTATCTACATCAACTGAGCATGTGCAGGAATTTAACATTTTTGTTTTTGAAAAAAATTTTTGTCTTTGGTCAGTTGTGGGGCTTGAACTCTTGGCCTCGGCACTGTCCCTCAACTCTTCAGCGCAAGGCAAGTACTCTACCACTTGAGCCACAATGCCACTTCTGATTTTCTGGAGATAAGATTTTCACAGACTTTCCGGCCTGGCCTGGCTTTGAACTGCAATCTGCAGATCTCAGCCTCCTGAGTAACTAGGATTATAGGTATAAGCCACCAGTGTCCAACTTGTTTTTGAATTTTTTTATTTTTTAACATTACTTTCTGACTATGCTTGCTTAAAAAAAATATATATGCTAAGTCTGTGAATAAGGCAGGCTTACTGTATGCAGTAGCAATGATGAATCAAAGAATTAAATGACTATCTTCTTACCTGACTGTGCTTCCCCCTCACCTGGGTTAAGTGCCTCCGAACCACTTCTAGTTCCTGCCAGCTCCCTCAGTGTTACCCTCAACATCCTGTATTACAGAGGCCTGTTGGCTGGACAGGCCATACTCTAGACCTTCAGCTCTGTGGAGATAGATTCTAGATCTTGTGCGTTCCTCTAAGTCCCTTTGGCCTATTGAAAATGTTTTCATGGTGGTGACTCCAACCAAGGTACACTGTATGCTTACAAGGGGGTTTCCTTCTGACACTTGATACGAATAAAAGAATGTGAGGGAAAATGTGATAGCTAAGATTTAGCACGTGTAACACAACTGGTATCAGTAAAGGCTTTATTTAGAAAAATAAAACTCAAAGGCTGAAGATAGAGCTCAAGTAAACACTTGCCTAACAAGTGATAAGGCCCTGAGTTCAACTGCAGTACCACAAATCATAATGATAATAATGATATTGGTGCTGCCAGGTGCTGGTATCTCATGCCACCACCTACTCAGGAGATCTTCGGATCACAGTTCAAAGCCAGCCCATTCAGAAGAGTCCATGAGACTCTTATCTCTTTATTAGAGATCAGAAAAACAAAACAACTTTGGAAGTAGAGTTGTGGCTCAAATGGTGGAGGGCTAGACTTGAGTGCAAAAGCTTAAGGATAGCGCCCAGACCCTGAGTTCAAGCCCCAGGATTCACACACACACACACACACACACACTGAATATTGAAAATGAATATTGGTGCTACTGAATAATATGTAGTTTGTCTCTTTTGTATCTATTGGGGATTTGATTGCATATTCAGTTTTGATTGATAGTGTATATATCATTAAGAGACCCCTGGACAGCTGCTGGATGGCAGGGGAGGCAGGGATGAAGATGGAATTTGAAAGTACAAACATGAAAACAATAAAATATTTGTTTCATGTGGAAATTTGCAGCAATTGTTTCAGTTTGTGGGCTTAGAGATTATAAGTGAAAGTATTTAGGGAAAGCTTATTTACACATAGCTTTATATTCTGTACCTTAATATATTTTTGCCATTTGTTTTTCAGCTCCAAGGATTAGTGAAATGCTTTCTGAAGCAGTCAGAAATTGAAGATGTCTAGACAGAACTTGGTAGCCTTGACAGCGACCACCCTTCTGGGAATAGCAGTGGGTGGGTTTGTCCTGTGGAAAGGACTCCAGCGCAGGAGGAGTAAGGTGAACCCGGTGGCCCAGCCACAGCCACAGCCGCAGCCACAGCCACAGCCACATCCAGTGGCAGGAGGGAGTGAGCACTCCCCTCCTAGAGAGAACCAGCTATCTCCTGGTGTCCAGAGACCCTCCAGAGCCTCGTGGGAGGAAAAGATCCTCCAGGCAAAGGTGGTGACTGTGTCTCAGGAGGCAGAGTGGGATCAAGTTGAACCCTTGCTTAGGAGTGAATTAGAAGATTTTCCAGTACTTGGATTCGACTGTGAGTGGGTAAGTTAAAAAGTAAAGATTAAAAAAGAATTCCTGAGTAGGGGCCATGGATCATCAAGTAGAGAAGGAAATGCAAGTAGAATTAGCTTGCTCTTTTCTGCTTTTTAAAATTAATTTTAGCAGACAAAGCCATAGCCATTTTCAGGGCAGAGAACACTTAACAGCCATGCATATTGGAGTCAGCTAGACTTCACTGAGTTCCAACTTCACCCCTCATTCTGTGAACTTGGACAGCTTTTAGCCTCTGTGTCTCAGTTTGGGTGTTTGTGATAGGAATGTAATGGTGCTAATCTACAGTGACTTTCTAAGGATTCAAGCACATGACTCTCTATAAAGGCTTTGGCACAATTTTAACATGTAGCAAACACTCACTAAACACTAGTTCCTATTAATACTTAAAATAAATAGCCTTTCGAGGCTGGAAAAGTGGCTCAGTGGTAGAGTGCTTGACTTGCATGCATGAGGTCCTGGGTTTGATTCCTCAGCACTGCATAAGCAGAAAAAGCCAGACAAGCGGCTCAAGTGGTAGAGCACTGGGCTTGAGCTGAATAGCTGAGGGACAGAGCTCAGGGCCAGAGTTCAAGCCCCAGGACCGACAAAAAATAAAACAAAAGAAAAATAAAGATGACATGGAGAAGCTAGTTAAATAGGAATTATTCAAATTAGAACGTAAAAGGTAACAGCAAATATTTGAAGTGTTATTTAAGGTAGACACTGCTGTTTTGCTTGTGTCATCCCATTCAATTTCCCAATATCTTGGTAGGGAAATACGATTTACAGATAGGAAACAAATAAAAATAAAAGTTTTAAGCTGAGTGCTGGTGGATCATGCCTGTAATCCTAGCTTTTTAGGAGGCTGAGGGTTGAGGCTCAAAGCCAGGTCGGGCAGAAAAGTGTGAGATTCTTATCTGTAATTAACCAGCAAAAGCTGGTAGAATGTCAGCCTTGAGTTAAAAAGCCTAGCAACTGAGTGAGAGACCCTGAGTTCAAGCCCCAGTACCTGCATTAAGAGAAAAAAAACCCAAAACAACTTTAGTCATTTGCTAAACAATGAAGCTAGTGTTTCTAACCAGCAGGTTTAGATGGTTCCCAGGCCATACAAAATTATCAATATAGGCAGAGAGGCCAAAGGTGTCCAAGGAGAAGCATATGTGTCCCATCATGTATCAAATGATTTTGCAGGACATAGGAGTTATGTTAAATTTCTCTTATGGTCCACTATATATAAGTTCAAAGAAGTAGTTATAACATAGCATACTGCCAGATAAAGGTATGAGTTTCCAGTCTCCGCTGAGTTACCCGTGATGATTATAGTGATGGACAAATAACATCTACAAAATGGGAATCCTGACATGTTTTAGGAGCGATTATTGTCTCTCTTCTGGAAGCACAGATGGAGATGTTAAGTACTTTTTTGACACTGGGCATAGTGGTATATACCTGTAACTCTAGTATTTAAGAGACTGAGATGAGAATTTTGGGTTCCAGACCATCCTGGGCTCCCTAATGAGACCCTGTCTGAAAAGAAAAACAAAAGTCTCTATGGACTTGCCTGACTCCTGTGTGGTTTTTTTTAGTAGGCTATCTGCATAACTACATGCTTATTGACAGGTACAGATAATTGGTGTAATAATGATTGAAGTAGAACAGTCTTAGTGACACATGTTGCTAATCAACAAGGTGATGAATTCAAGATAAGCCTGGGCTAAGATTGAGTTAAGTGAAGGTCATGCCCTTCCCTCCTACCAGCCTCCCTCCTCCCCCCCCACCCCCAACTTGTAGACCTGATATCCTGCCTGGGCTAGTTTTAAATTTCAGTCCTCAAATCTCAGCATCCTGAGTAGCTAGGATTACAGACAGGTGTGAGCCACCCATGCCTGATACACATGTGTTTTTTCTTTTTCTTTCTTTGTTTTTGGTCAATCATGGGGCTTGAATTCAGGGCCTGACCACTATCCCTGAGCTCTTTCACTCAAGGCTAGCACTCTACAACTTTGAGCCACATCTCTACTTCTAGTTTTCTGGTGGTTAATTGAAAATAAGAGTTTCACGGATTTTTCTGCTCAGGCTGGCTTTGAACCTCAGTCCTCACACCTCAGCCTCCTGAGTAAGCTACAATTACAGAGCCTGGCTCAACTATGTTTTTTGTTGGTTGCCTGTGGCCTATCTACCTATATTGATAATTTCATATGGCCTTGGAATGATGTTATAAATATCAAAATGGCCCGTGGTAGAGAAAAAGTTCCCACTGTTGGAATAAAATCCAGATATCATAATTATATGTTCTGAAGGACTTAACACTCTCTAAGTCCCTGATTATGTCCCCTTTATTCTTCTCCCATCTTATTATTTCTACAACCACACTGGACATACATTCTGTCACTTGACCAGGAAAATCTCATTCTTGGCAAAAAAAAAAAAGTTAAATTTGTAAACTTCACAGACTGAGAATAAGGATGTTCATTAGTTAACCTGTTTCAGCCTGGAAGATGGTCTCATGTCTTTACTCTCTGCTGCCATCGTGGGGTTGTTCAAGGAATCATGGGCCATGCCAGAGATCAGGTATCAGTTTGATTTTTCTTTCTTTCTTTCTTTTTTTTTTTTTTTGGGTCTGGTCGTGGGGCCTGAACTCTGGGCCTGGGTGCTGTCCCTCAGCTCTTCAGCTCAAGGCTAGCACTCTACCACCTGAGCCACAGCGCCACTTCCGGCTTTTTTCTTTTTGCTTATGTGGTGCTGAGGAATCGAACCCAGGGCCTCAGGCATGCAAGGCAAGCGCTCTACCACTGAGCCACCTTCCCAGCCCAGTTTGATTTTTCTTGTTGGTAACTGGGGTTTGACTCTGGGCCTCATGCTTGTTAGGCAGACACTTATACCACTTGAGCCATGCCTTTAGCCCTTTGTGCTGTAGTTATTTTTCAAATTGGATCTTATATTTTTACCCAGACAAGCCTGGACCTCAATCTTCCTATTTACACTTTTGATGTAGATAGGATGACAGGACAGGTATTGGTTGAGATGGAGTTTTGAGAACTTTTTGCCCCGGCTGATCTCAAACCATGATCCTCCTAGGTAGCTAGTATTATAGGTCTAAGCCACTGCCCATCTTGTCCTCAGCTCTCAATTTTATTTTATTTTTTGCCAGTCCTGGGGCTTGAGCTGAGAGCCTGGATACTGTCCTTGAGCTTCTTTTTTTTTAATACATATTTTTTATTGTAAAGATACTGTACAGAGGGGTTACAGTTACAGGAGTAAGATAATGAGTCTATTTCCTATGGAGCATTGTTACCTGCTCCTTTGTTTTTCCCCTACCATCCTTTTCCTTCCCACGTTCCCAACTCCTCTCCTCCCCCCCACCCCAATGCAAAGTTGTAAAGTTGTTTTCAACATTGTGTCTTGTACATCTCATTGTTACAATGGGTCATCCTGTATCCTTATTTTAGCATTTTGTTATTTTCCTTCCCCTCCTCAAATTAGAAAAATGTATATACATGATGTAGGACATATTGGATTCCAATGCTCTGAACTTCTTTTGTTCAAGGTTAACACTCCACCATTTGAGCTACAGCACCACTTCCAGCCATCTCTGTTTATTTGGTACTGAGGAATCGAACGCAATGCTTCATGCATACTAGGCAAGCACACTACCACCAAGCCACATTCTTAGCCCTCAGCTCTCAATTTTTAAGAATACTTAAATTAAAATGAATGATCCATTGGCTCACTACCCAGCGTTCTTGAAATTAATCGCTGAAGCAGAATAGTGTTGGAAGTTTCGTTTTGTTTTTGTCAGTCATGGGGCTTGAACTCTGGGCCTGAGCACTGTCTCTCAGCTCTTCAGCTCAAGGCGAGTGCTCTACCACTTGAGCTACAATGCCACTTCCAGTTTTCTAGTGGTTTTTATTGGAGATAAGAGTCTCACAGACTTTCCTGCCCGGGCTGGCTTTGAACTGTGATCCTCTGATCTCAGCCTCCTGAATAGCTAGGATTACAGGCATGAGCCACTGGTGTCCGGCTTAGCAGTTTTATCTATAATTGTTGATTATATCATTCACTTAAAATTGTTACTTTTGTGTGCAGGAAGCAATGGTAAAGTGTTCTGGGTTCAATTCCTAGTACCAAAAGGTATGCATATATGTGATTTATAAATATACATAAACACAGTCATGTATCACTTAGCAATGAGGTTTTATTCTTTTTTTTTTGGTGGGTTGTGGGGCCTAAACTCTGGGCCTGGACACTGTCCCTCAGCTCTTTAGCTCAAAGGTAGCACTCTACCACTTGAGCCACAGCACCACTTGTACCTTTTTTCTGCTTATGTGGTGCTGAGGAATTAAACCTAGGGTCTCATGCTTGCAAAGCAAGCATTCTACTACTGAGTCACCTTCCCAGCCCAGGCTACATTCTAAGAAATGGTTCATTAGACCATTTTGTTGTTGTGTGAGCATCATGGAATGAGTACAATTACCTAATCCTAGGTGATGTAAGTCACTATAGAAGGAGTGAGGTTGATGGGGTACCTGTATGTGTGTATAGAAATGTTACAACGAAACCTGCCTTGTACAACAAATATACGTTAACAAAAAAATCTTAAATGCAATGTATGGGCTGGGGGATATAGCTTAGTGGTAGGGTACTTGCATAGCATGTTTGAGGCCCTAGGCTGGAAGTGGGGAGAACTCATTTTATCTGTATGTTTATTTAATGCATTTTAGACAATGAGACCTGACTGTAAAGATGTTCAGAAGGATCCACCCTTAAGAGTTTACAAAACTGGGCACTGGTGGCTCATGCCTATAATCCTAGCTACTCAGGAGGCTGAGATCTGAGGATTGTGGTTCAAAGCCAGCCCAGGCAAGAAAGTCCAAGTCATATCCAATTAATCACCAGAAACCCGGAAGTGGTACTGTGTCTCAAGTGGCAAAGTGCTCACCTTGAGCTGAAAGCTAAGGGACAGCGCCCAGGCCTAGAGTTCAAGCCCATGACCGACAAAAAAATAAAACAACCCCCCAAAACAACAATAACAACACCAAAGAGTTTACAAGTAAGCACTGTGCCAAATTAGGGATGCTGCATATTAGAAGTTACACTTGTGGGCATATACCCATAGCAGTGGAAACCAGTATCCAAGAGCAATACCTACACACCTGTGTTCATCACAGCACTGGTCACAGTAGCCTAACTGGAGTTAGCTAAGGTACCTGACAGCTGATGAGTGGATAAGGAAAGAATATTACTTAGCTGTAAATAAAGATGAAATTATATCATTTGTAGGAACATAGATAGAACTGGAGGACCATCATGTTTAGTGATTATAAAGCTAAACTCAAAAAGCCAAATACCATGTTTTCACCCATTTGTGGAATTTAGACCTAAAATATATACATCTACATGGACATACAATACTTAAACACACACATATATGTAAGTATTTATATGTTTGCTAAAAACTTGGACCATTTGGGGGGAAGAGGGAAAGAGAATGATGGAAGATGAATAATGTCAAAACACATTGTATCTATATGTACAGATAGCATAAGGAATCTCACTAAAAACTGATGTACAGTGGAAGGTCTGGGAAAGAGAGCAAAGAAAGAGAGCAATTGAGGACATTGATTAATATAATATATGAATGTGTGAAATACCATGGTAAAACCCATTTGGAATTAGTATACATTAAGGAAAAACTAAATGGCAGAAGTGTAAGACAGGCTTTTTGAGCCAGGCATTGGTGGCTCATGCCTGTAATCTTAGCTACTCATGAGGCTGAGATCTTAGGATGGTGGTTTAAAGACAGCTCTGGCAAAAAAAAAAAAAAAAAAAGTCTATGAGACTCATTTCTAATTAGCCACCAAAAAACTGGAAGTGGAGCTATAGCTCAAAATGGTAGAGTGCTAACCTTGAGTGAAAAATCTTAGGGACAGCTCCCAGGTCCTGAGTTCAAGCCCCATTACTAACAGAAATAAAACAAAACAAAAAGCAACAAGCAAACAACAACAACAAACCTAATAGGCTTTTTGGGAGCGGGTACTGGTATGAGACAGAAGGTCCAAGAGGAAGGATGAAGTACTGTATATGCATGTATGAAAACAAAATGGTGAAACCTGCTGAAATTGGAATTTAAGAAGGAGAAGAGGATGAAGGAGAGTAATGTAAGGGATGACTTTGAGTGGGGTACTTTGTAGCAAATATAAAAATGCCACGAAATGCCTCTGAAAAATTAGTATATGTTGATACAATCTATATAAAAGTAGAAGTAGAGAGTTATAGATTTATAGATTGAATACCCTTGGTCTGATAATCCAAAAAGTGAGATGCTCCAAAATTCGAGTTTTGTTCAGTGCTGACATGATGCCACAAGTAGAAAATTCCACACCTGATTCCACATGATGAGTTGCAGTTAAAATGCAGTTGTATTAAAAAATTATATAAAATTACCTTCCACTGTGTGTAATTATTTATTTATTTTTTGCCAGTTCTGGGGCTTGTCAGGGCCTGGGCACTGTCCCTGAGCTTCTTTTGCTCAGGGCTAGCACTTGAGCCATAGCATCATTGCTGGCTTTTTCTGTTTATGTGGCACTGAGGAATTGAACCCAGGGCTTCATGCATGCTAGGCAAGCAGTCTACCACTAAGCCACATTCCCAGCCCTGTGTCCCTGAGCTTTTTCACTCAAGGCTAGTGCTCTACCACTTCTCACCACTTCTGATTTTTTTTTGTTTTGTTTTTTTCTTTGAGTCCAGTCGTGGGGCCTGAACTCTGGGCCTGTGCGTTGTCCCTCAGCTCTTCAGCTCAAGGCTAGCACTCTACCACTTGAGCCACAGTGCCACTTCTGGCTTTTTTTTTCTTTTTGCTTATGTGGTGCTGAGGAATCAAACCCAGGGTCTCATGCATGCAAGGCAAGTGCTCTACCACTGAGCCACATTCCCAGCCCAACCGCTTTTGTTTTTCTGGTGGTTAATTGGAGCTACAGGATTAGAGTTTTTAGACTAGGGAGACACAGCTGGACCCCTGTACCATGTTTTGCACACAGGTAGTGTAGTCGCAAGAGCCACCTTGCCCTGGAGCCAGGTTTTTGGGGAGATGAGTCTGTTGTAAGAGGCTCTTTTTTACATTGTGGGATATTTATCAACATCCTCGTCTCTGCTTGTTAGCTATCACCCGTGTACTTTCTTCCTTCAGTTGTCACAAGCCCCAAATTTCTGTAGACATTGACTAATTTTCCTTGGGGGCAAAATCATTCTCTGTTGAGAAAACTACTATGGTAGAGACTGAGAAAAATGTAGCCCTAGTCCTAGCTTTGCCATTGTCTCACAATACTTGATTAAATGGCTTCACCTTACAGTCCGTAAGTTTCCTTTCATGAAGGACTGGAAGAATTTATTGGATACTTCATCTGGATTAGTGGATAGCTTTAAGGAATCTTTAATCTCTAAAACTTGTATGTGAATTTTGAATGTCAGTTTTTTTAAGGACGATAATCTTAACTTTCAGCATTTCTTCCCATATGACACTCAAATGTAAACCTAGAACTAAATATATATTTAATGTATAAAGTTATTTTATATCTTTTTTTGGGGGGGTCTGGTCATGGGGCCTGAACTCTGGGCCTGGGCGCTGTCCCTCAACTCTTCAGCTCAAGGCTAGCGCTCTACCACTTGAGGTACAGCCCACTTCCGGCTTTTTTCTTTTTTGCTTATGTGGTGCTGAGGAATCGAACCCAGGACCTCATGCATGCAAGGCAAGCACTCTACCACTGAGCCACCTTCCCAGCCTATTATTTTCTCTCTTTAGATATAAAGATCCCCACTTATGTTCAACATCCTTTTTTTTCCCTCCCTTAATTTTCTTCTGTGAGCACTATTTGTGACTAGAAAATGCTGAGAAAGCATGTTGTGCTGCCATGATTTGTTGTATTGGTGGCTACTTCTTACTTACAGGTCTGGGTTTCCCAGCTCTTTAAAACACTCAGCTCCTGAGGCAGTGCCGATGAGGTAAATGAGTAGAATTATTGGCATGTATGTTTGACAGTCTGGATAATCAAGAATGTGTTGCCATTTGGCACTTTGTTTAGCTCTTTATTTTCCTTAGCCTTTAAAAACTAGCGCATCTCATCTGACTGCTAATGTGTGGCTCAGAGCTCCTCTGTGTCAGCTGGCCTCTATTTATGGAATGCTCACATTTGCCAGCTCTGGAGTTGGGCCCTTGGGAAGGTTTGTCCAGGCTCACTATCCTGTTACAGTACTCAAAATCTAGTCTGCTGTTTTCTTTGGGATGTGCTGGATGGACTACTACTTTTTTTTTTTTTTTTGCCACAGTTTCCTCTTACACTTGTTGCCAGGCAAGGTTGTGAATTGTGATTTATCTTGTTCTGTTGCAGGTGAACCTGGAAGGCAAAGCCAATCCACTCTCTCTCCTACAAATGGCCTCCCCAAGTGGCCTTTGTGTCTTGGTTCGCTTGCCCAAACTGATCTGTGGAGGCAAACCACTACCAAGAACGTTACTGGACCTTTTGGCAGATAGCACCATTTTAAAAGTTGGAGTGGGATGTTCAGAAGATGCCAGCAAACTTCTGCAGGATTATGGCCTCATGGCTAGGGGGTGCCTGGACCTCCGGTATCTAGCCATACGGCAGGGGTATGGTTTGTATAAATGCTGCGATTCCTGTAGCTGTGGGGTAAACATCTTCACAAGATCTGTAGATTGGGCTGGGAAGGTGGCTTAGTGGTAGAGCGCTTGCCTTGCATGCATAAGGCCCTGGGTTCGATTCCTCAGCACCACATAAGCAAAAAGAAAAAAAAGCCAGAAGTGGCGCTGTGGCTCAAGTGGTAGAGCACTAGCCTTGAGCTGAAGAGTTGAGGGACAGCGCCCAGGCCCAGAGTTCAGGCCCCATGACCGGACCCAAAAAAAAAAAAATCTGTAGATTTCTGGGAATCAATACTGAAATACCTAAAATTCTTTAGAAACCCAGAAGCTTGAGAAAAGGCATATTCAGTTTGTTAGGAGATATTTCAAGTTCTGAAGGCATTTTAATTATAATTTGTCTTTTCTTCTTTTAGTCTTGGGTCTTGAACTTGGGGCTTGGACGTTATCCCTGAGCTCTTTTGCTCAAAGCTAACATACTACCTCTTTGAAGCACCACTTCAGGCTTTCTGGTAGTTAATTGGAGATATAAAAGTCTTATAGCCTTTCCTGCCAGGCTGGCTTTGAACCATGTTCCTCAGATCTTAGCCTCCTGTGTAACTAGGATTATAAGCATGAGCCACTGATACCCAGCAAGACTTCCTTTTCTTCAGCATCAAAGTGATTTGGGTTCCTGCATTTCTTGAGGGATTACTGTTATAACACTGACAAGGACCTCCAGGCTTGTAGCTCTGTGACTCCTGATTCCCTTGCTAAGTGAGAAGTTGGTGCTGCTTTCCCATACTCATGTATTCTTCATATCATGTCTATATCTTGATTGGAGACTCCAATCAGGACATATTAACTTTTTTGCAACCCAATAGTAATTTTAATTAGAAGTTTTGAAGACCAGAAAGACATTTATTTTTGTATTTTAGCCTCCACAACAAAAATAGTCTTTAATGTTTTTCAAATTTAAAAAGTAAGACATGAGAACTATTGAAGAGTAGTTAGGTTGCTTACAAGTCTTTCCTACTATAAATAGTGATGCAGTGAAGATCTTTTTTTTTGGGTCCGGTCGTAGGGCCTGAACTCTGGGCCTGGGTACTGTCCCTCAGCTCTTCAGCTCAAGGCTAGCACTCTACCACTTGAGCCACAGCGCCACTTCCAGCTTTTTTCTTTTTGCTTATGTGGTGCTGAGGAATCAATCCCAGGGCCTCATCCATGCAAGGCAAGCGCTCTACCACTGAGCCACCTTCCCAGCCCCACTGAAGATCTTTTTATGGACCTATGTGCTTAGAATAAACTTCTTAGGAGCAGAATTGCTGAATTAGAGAATTTTCATGTTCAAGCTTTTGCTTGCTATTTATTACTGGTTTTTATAAAGATTATAAAAATATACAGCTCACACATTTTAGATGAGACTTGCTGATTCTTCTTGTTCCATTGACAATAGATACTGTTAAAAACTTGCAGCTTGACACCAGTTGCTCATGCCTATAATCCTAACCTTTCAGGAGGCTGAGATCCAAGAATCATATTTTGAAGTCAGTTCAGGCAGACAAATCCAAGAGACTTTATCTCCAGTTAACTAGCAAAAAGCTAGAACTGGAGGCATGGCTCAAACAGATGAGTTCAGGTGCGAGTGAAAGACTCAGATCAAGAGGCACAGAGTTCAAACCTCATTACCAGCACACACAAAAACAACTTTGAAATCTGATAGATAATAAATTATTTTCCTTGATGTCTATGGTTGTCCTCTATTTATTGGCTATTTAGAGTTTTTTTCCTGTGTGTGTCATTTGCCTATTTTTGATACATGGTTTTGTTTATTGTAGAAACAATTTCCTCTGTAATGGGCTTAGCCTGAAATCACTTGCTGAGACTATTTTGAACTTTCCTCTTGACAAGTCCCTTCTACTTCGTTGTAGCAACTGGGATGCTGAGAGTCTTACAGAAGAGCAGGTACTTCTTATTTGACCAGCTGAAGAATTGAGTTGTTGCCTCTGATGTATAATTGTTTTTTTTTTTTAATTCTAATCTTCAGGACTGGGAGTGTGGCTTAGTGGTAGAGTGCTTGCCTAGCATGCACGAAGCCCGGGGTTCAATTCCTCAGTACCACATAAACAGAAAAAGATGGAAGTGGTGCTGTGGCTTAGGGTGGTAGAGTGCTAGCCTTAAGCAAAAAGAAGCTCAGGGACAGTGCACAGGCCCTGAGTTCAAGCCCCAGAACTGGCCAAAAACCACACAAGAACAAAAAACAATTCTGATCTTAAAATGTAAGTAGTAGGTGGAAATACTTTAGACTTACTGACTGATGATACTCAAGAAAATGTTTATGTTATTTAAATAAAGATTAGAGTCTTATATTTCATATTTTGAGCATTTATCATTTCAGGCATTTCAGAAAATAGAATTTATTTATGAATACTAACGCTTAAGTTAAAAACAAACAGTGTTGGGTATGGTACCTCACACTTGTAATCCCAGCACTTGGGAGGTGGAGAAGAGAATCTTGAGTTCAAAGCTAACTTAGTCTACATAGTGTGACCCTGTCTCAAAAATGGGTCTAGAGGAAAGGGGTAGCCAAATGAGGAGAAGAGGGTGAGAATGCAGTCAAGAATTCAATGTAGGGGCTGGGAAGATGGCTCAGTGGTAGAGTGCTTGCCTTGCATGCCTGAGGCCCTGGGTCTGATTCCTCAGCACCACATAAGCAAAATGAAAAAAGCCGGAAGTGGTGCTGTGGCTCAAGTGGTAGAGCGCTAGCCTTGAGCTGAAGAGCTGAGGGACAGCGCCCAGGCCCAGAGTTTTGGCCCCACGACTGCCCCCCCCCAAAAAAAAAGAATTCAATGTACATCCTACAAAATTAAGAAGAATGAGGGAAGGGGAAGGATGGATGAGAATCCAGAAAAGGATGACATTGATCAAGATGTATTATATTACTAAATGGAAACTTATTTGTACAACTACTTAAAGATAACAAGTAAAGTGGCGCTGTAGCTCAAGTGGTAGAGCGCTCGCCTTGAGTT